CAAATAATAAATAACCAATTTAAAATTGTCAGTATGACAGACTTGGTCAAAGGCTGGCTCTTGATACAATGCAATATGTTTTTTGCTTAGCAGAATAAAATAAATTTAAATAAATACCTCTAAAACCCATTAATTTGTCATCTTCATTCAAAATTTGTGCATTACGTTTTTTTCCAGCTGTTTTGTAAAACAGTACATTTGAAAATACACAGGGTGACAACATTATTTTTAGCGATTAAACATCACTTTGATTAAAGAGTTTGAACATACTGGTGGAGTAACCATTATAGAAATGTAAAGAAGATTTTTTTTTAATTACAATACTATGAATTTAGGGCAGCTGTAACATATACCTTACATTTGGTGGTGGTCTAAATCTAAATAAACGTAATACATTTGGTGGTTTTATATATATATGTACATTACATATGATGCATTGTTGTCTGATTCTAAAGCTTTAATTTTAAATGGATAATGAATGAATTAAATGAATGAAAAAACTTCAATTTTAAAGAATTATTCAAATTAAAAGACCAAAATTTCACTTTATTAAAATATATATGAATGTTAAATAAATATAAATATTTAAATTTAGCGACAGTTAATGTAATAAGTCTTTGAAAAAAATTGACCTCCAGAATAATTGCTTTGTATCCTGTTGCTATAAAAAAAAATAGTGTTGTTTACAACATGTAGTATAACTTAAGTCAGAAATGTATCAATATATATTTCTTTTATTTTTTGCTTGTAAAGATAAAAAAAAACGTCTTACCTTTTCTTATAAACGTTTATTTATAGTTGACCGTCTCTTATATTACACTGTTTTGTTTGTGTATGTGTGCAGTTATGGTCTAAAGGTGGACATCTGGGCAGCAGGCGTGATCACCTACATCCTGCTGTGTGGATTTCCTCCTTTCAGAAGGTGACTTAGCATAAAGTTGTTGTTTATCCAGTCATGCATGTGTTAATTGTTTCAGTTGTTGTATTAACGCAGTCTTGTCTTTTGTATTGTTTTGGTATCATGTGACCTACCATCACTTTGGTTACGTTAATAAACAGCTTTTCCTGATTCTTGCTCTTCCTCAGTGAGAATAATGTTCAGGAGGAGCTGTTTGATCAGATCCTCAGAGGGAAGCTGGAGTTTCCGTCTCCAGACTGGGACACCATCAGCCTTCCAGCAAAGGTACCATTCATGAAGTTTGCAAACAGTAAATACATTGTTTGGTATCCGACATCAGCTCAAGAACAAACATGATTATCTTGTGGCTTCAACATTGACTAAAGCCCTGCATTTTACTAAGATGGTTTCTGAGTTAATATTTTTCCAGTTTTTATGAAGTTTCAGTGGTTGGATCTCTTATTTAGTGGGTTCAGGAAGCACAAAACTGAATTTTAACCATCTCAAAATTAGAGGCTATTCAGCAGGACAAAGTGAAAAGAGAAACCACATAAAGCAAAGGCACATAGCATGAAATACAGCAGTGCGACCTAGTAAGCAGCACATTGGTACGGTGTACTGCAGACTGGTAACTGTTGCATGATCTGGTCCTCAGATGCTGATAAGTCAGATGCTGCAAGTGAATGTGGATGCCCGTTTCACTGCCGAGGAGGTCCTGTCGCACCTCTGGGTGACGGTAAGAGCACTCAGACATGTAATCTCGTCAATACTGCAATAATACAGTAATTATTAATTTGGTGGTCATCGATACGCAATGCTTATTTTCATTTTCATAGTAAAACATGGTGTGTTTGTCTAGGATGAGGCTCCTATAGAATCCAACACTGTGAGCAGTGCTGAAGAGCAGAACAGTGGAGACACACTGGAAACAGAGGAACCAGAGGAACCAGAAGAATCCCCAATACTTGAAACCAAGCAAGTTCCCTCACCTCTGGTCTAAAACACATCCCCCTTATTGAATGGAAGAACAGAACAGTCTTTGTTTGGTCCACTGGAAACCCAGAAAGTTTCTTTATATCTGAACGTCTCATTAATTCCCAGACCAGATCAGTTCCCTTTAATCTGGTCTAGAACCTGTTACATGACATCATGTCACCTTAGTTAAACGAGTTTTAACTTCTAGAAGCCAACAACTCTGCTTTGAATTCTAGCTTTCTCTCGTTTCCATTTAAAACCAAACCAATCACTTCCTCTTGGCTTTTATTTAATTTCATCTTCAGGAAACTGAACAGAACATATCGGACTTGAAGAAGTTTCTACACCTCTTTCTCTTGGACATGTTCATCCTTCTAAAGACCGAAAAGAGGTCCCACCATTTAAAACCAACCTAGTTCAATCTACTTAACATGAAACCAGTCCCATCATGCTTTGTGAAACAAAATGATTTGGTTCAATTTTCTTCCACAAATATTCCCATTTTGGGAATATTGTGAGGTATAAAACAATTTCCCTCTCTTGTGATGTGGAATGAATCCAATTTCTCCCTTTGCAAGTCAGCAAGTCCTGTCAGTCACCCGTCATCTGCTTGAATCGAACACGATACTATACATCTGGTGCAGAACCTGTTACTGTTTCTTTAATCAGAAATGTGATTGAAGCCCGTTACAGCCACTGGAAACCAACCAAGATCCCTCACTGATCTTTAATTTATTTATTTATAATCTTTATTTTGCTAATTAGAAAGCAAACATTAGTCTGGAAACCCAACAAGTTCCTTAAATATGGTCTCTCTGGCTCCCCTGGCCAAGAACTGAAAAAAGTAAATTGAATGTGATTTAAAGTATGTTCAGTTTGATCTTCTTCATCAAAATACATTCTCTCTAATCTACCCCAAACATATCACAAACAAACAGGTTCTCTCAGGTCTAGAACATATCTCCTATCGGGTCATGGAGACATTCTTTATTCACCAAGTGGAATCCAAAAAGTCCAGTCAAGAATGCAGATTGTTTTCTATAAATTGACTGAAGAAAGGAAAGGAGGAGGAGGACTGGAAAACAAGCAAATGTGGCCCATCCTATACCATCTGGAAAACCAAATATGTAAGTTAGTGGAAATAATAAGTTTCCTTAGATCAAGTGAAAACCCAACACTTCCCTTCTTACATGATTTAGAATACAACCTGTGTCATCTCAAACCAACCAAGTAAGTGTCCCCAAACTTAGTTTAGTGTCTGGAACAGTTGTTCACTATTTTGATTTGTTGGAAGCAGTCGTGTTCCCTTACTTTTACTCTAGAATCATTTTGCTTCCCTTGGTTGGATGGATGTACTGTTTGGGGGGGGTTTTTTGTATGTTTTTTCTTCTTTATTTCTACTGGAAGCTGCACAAGTCTGCAACAATGGGAGTTTGTTGCACTGATAGCAAACCAGTTTCTCTACTATTTGTTTATCCTATGAACACCATCCCACCTTTGGTCTGTGCCATTAAAACTACTGAAGACTTTTACAAGACACGTCTCTGCTGCTGATGAGCTCTATTAGAATGCTATTAAATGCCCATTTTGTTGTGAGACACAATGCCCGGCTACTTGAAGGACGCACACTATATCGATGTCGGGACACCATGAAGGTGCTATTCAACTCATCTTGTTTTATGATCCAGTGTCTGATTGGACTGTATTACCATTTCTTGTAAATGGCTCTTACCTCTTATCTGAATGACACTGGAAAAACTGATTGGACAGCTGTAAAAAGGCGTCAACCACTTTCATTAAGATATGAACACCTGACTCATTTTCAAATGCTCCCTCTGGTTTAGAGGTTATCGTTTCTGTAGTCCCTGCTGCTAGGCAACCAGGATGTCTTCCATTTATTCCGGGAAACGTCGCATTTCTTCTGCCTTTGCCCTCCAGCCCTCCTTCTGCTGGCCCGAAGGACGTCTCTCATTTCTTCTACTTGCACCTGCAAACTGGGGAGGTGATTGAGTACTGTGCCTGTTTACACTGCTGGTTAATTGCTTTCTCTTACAAGTTAAAGTCCCTAGAAGTTTGATATTTATGATAGCCACACATGAAGGCTCATTGTGTTTGCTTTGGTTTTGAAGCATTCAGAATTTGTCTGCATTTTGGGAAATGGACTTTTCCTACTGCGAGATACTGGCAAATCTAAACATAGGATACTTCATCAGCTGGAAAAAGACTGGGGAAAAAAAGAAAAAATTCTCTGTCCAAAGTTCACATTTTGCGAGTATATTCTGTATGAAATCTTAAGTTAATGCATGTACACCAAGTTTGTGTGTAGATTAAACAAATGAAAATTTACACACAAACATTGAGGTTTATAGTTTATAGTATAGCCAGAAAAGCCTGAACAAGTATGGTTTGCGTGCATTGAGTTGACCATGAACTTCTCTGTAATCAAAGTATTCTAGAGTACAATTTGAGGCCATCTTTTTTACAACAGAAGCTTGGCTGAAATTGGGTCATGTAACAAGAAAATCAAAAGAATCAAGGGCTTGCAATGACTCCTGACCTCTACCTGATTGAGGTCCTCTAACAGGACATTAACAGAGCTGTGCATACACATAAACCTCGATGATCTAAGACAGGGATGTCCAACTCCAGGCCTCAAGGGCCGGTGTCCTGCAGGTTTTAGATGTGTCATTGATCCAACACAGCTGATTTTAATCACTAAATCACCTCCTTGACACATCTTAAAGTTCTCCAGAGGCCTGGTAAGGAACTAATCATGTGATTCCGGCTGTAAAGAAGAGTGAGCCAAAATTCCCGCACGACAGTGTAAGAGACTGATAACTTTTGCTGTGATAAAGTTATACAGAGAAAGATTACAATTGATTGTAAAAGATAAAAATCATGTGGTGCACTTAGTTTCTTTTTCACATAACTGTGTACTGCACAGAAAGTAAATATACTGTTAAAATAGGAAGCTAGGTTTAAATAAATATTAAACTACAGCACTTCAAATTGTTAGCAAATATTTAAAGTATGTCATTAAACAAATCAAGTAAAATTAAGCAGTTAAAGGTTTTGATAAATGGTTAAATTAAAAGCATAATTTCCAGTTGGAATTTTTCAGTGAAGGTTTTTTCAAGCCAGTTTCTGAACACTGAAAACCAAAAACAATGAGCCTTATGTACAAAGACTCCTTTTGTTCCTCTGAAGGACACGTCCTGTCGTCTCACTCGCCTTCTGCCCTTTACCTGTTCCCCCAGGCTTCGCACTGTATCTGAAATGAACTGAGGGACTTCAAAATGTCACATTTTCAAAAACAATTTCAACAACCTTTTAAAGTTTCTACCTGCAGTATGACTGAGATAAAGGTCACCTTTGAGTCTAGTCCCCGAGCTTACTGCCTCTCCTCGGTTCACAGCAGTTTACGGAGGATAAAATATGTTGTAAATAATGTAAATATCACTCTGTCTGTTGTTGTCTGTTTGTCTGTGTGAGTCAGTTGTGAAGTAGGGAAACAGTAGCAGCCTGAACAAATACTACGACAATGAAAAAGAAAAAAAGTCTCATTGATGAAACAAATGATTTTCCACATTGATATTGGAACATTTTGTCATTCTAAATAGATACTTATTAAATTTAAAAAAAATAATAGGGAGTTTCTGAAGGGTGTGAAGTAAGAGTTCTTACCTTAAAGTCAAGTTCTTGATAGATTTGGTAGCAACGAAGGACTGGACACTGACAGAGCTCTTTCATCATGTGGTCATGCGTCTGTGAGGTGTCACCAATCATATTGCTCCATCCACACATCCATCATGCTGTCTGTGATATTACTGATCATACATCAGTGAGAATGAAGGAATTCCTGTTTTTAAAAACAACAATGACAAAAAAAGTGTGTTTGTGTGCGCGGGTATTTGATTTCCACGACATAATGTTTGAAGTCCTGTGGAAAAACTGGAATGTATGAAGTTTGTAAGTTCTGAGTCTGTTTGCATCTTTCTTTAAAACTTGAAACCAAGTGTCAATCGTCATCTGGGTAAATGCGTTGACCTAATGCAGTGTTATGACCTTACCGTGACCTTTGAGCTTAGCATAACCTTTCCATGGCCTTGACCTTAGGCTGGAGCTGCTCATTAAGAGTTTGGCAGGAGCATTTGAAGTGTTCATGAGTGGGACTAATGAAATAACTTCGAGCTCACAAACTGTTTTGAAGGCCAGAAAATAATTTATCTCACACATTAAAAAATTACAGCTACCTGACTCTAACTAGGCAATTACAGGAACCACTGAACAAGCTTTTAATAAATAATACAATCATAAATATGCATAAAATAATACCTACAACAAATTCCAGCAACATGAACAAGTTAATAAAAGAAAATGTCATATGCAACTGTTTAAGAAGACCCGGACCAATGATTGGTGTAATAATAACCAATGCATGCTGCACAAAAACCAGTCAAAAAAACACATTTTACCTTGCTGGTACACTCACGTTTCAAATTCTTAAACACATCAATATCTAGAAAAGGGACTTTTGCAGAGCCTTGAATACGTGACTGTTTTCTTTAAACAGTCCTGTGATGTACAGCAGAACAATAGCTGCAGACAGATACATTGTTGGGGTCATTTTCTTTTAGGTGAAACAATAAAATAAGCCCCAGAATTAAAACAATTTAATTGTGTTCTGAATGGCATTATATCATTAACACCAAATTAGCACCAGTTACTGTCATATGTTTTAATGTTTGGACATTTTGTTACAGCCCTGCAGTATTATAAATCACAATGGTACGGTCATGTACTCAGTAACTGCTGACGGTAACACTGACAGTATTATATTCAGTAGCACCGACAATGTATTTAGAATGTTACTAACAAGCTAGCCGTACATATCTTCTTACATTGAACACTCATGAAGACCTTCAGCGGCAGCCAAACTCTCAGTCAGCGGCTCGGTCTTTGACCTTCTATGCCTGCCTCTATGAACCCAGTAGTCTTAATTGTTTCCTTTTTATACTTCATACCAAACCAAGAAGAGCCTTTTGTTGCTACTGTTGCAGCCACCCGCGTCAACAAGAAGCCAAACTTGATGTTTCACTTGTGTTGATGCGTTTCAGCATCTATTAGTTTTTGCTGTTGTCGGCTTTGAACCCATTGTGCAAATTTAACTTAATTCAACCAGCCATTTTCACAAATCCACTTTAGTTTCATTTCCTGCCTTTGTTGTTACTTTTAGTTTTCAAATTTATTATGGTTTACCAAATCTTCTCAAGGACTTTTGGGACACAATTTGCAGTCAAATTATTGGGAAGAAAACAATTTCTCATGCAAAGTTTAATATGAATTTTATGTTTTCAAAGTCAGTTGATTGGTTTTTTTGGGTTGTTTTTTTTTTTTTAATTCTTTACATTCTTGCAATTAGTCTAACTGATGGGTGACCTGAAATTTACTGATTTCTTTGGGTGTTTCAAGCATCCAGCAAATAATTTAACATTCTTGCACTTCAGTACATCGTTGTCATTATCACTGTATACAGCTTGGCTGGTTTTACATGTTTTAGATGTTTGGTCCATGACATTTGCAATTCTCCAAAGAAAGGTAGCTGTCAAATGAAAAAAATCTCTATTTTTGGTTGTAAATGAAAAACTTTGGCATTAAAACCCTGATGATCATGAGCTGTAAGGTTTTACTATGTCATTAGTACACTGAACTGTTTCGAGCAAAGTTGGAAACAGATGATTCAGTTTCACTTTGACCCGGGTGGCTGTGATTACTGGGTCCTTTGTGTTTTTATGGGATGTGATTGAGTGTGTGTGATCATTTTACATCATGCCTCATTATAGACAGGAGCTGATTTTTTTTATTTTATTTATTTTTATGCACTAGACAAGTTAGGATTTTGAACCAAACTGGGCTGGTTTTCCAAAAAGAAATCGGAGTCTGAGGTTGATCTTTAAGTCAGTACAATTTACTAAAGAATGTCTTAAATCATTTAATAACAGGATTTTTGCATGAAAAATCTTTAATTTACAAATTTAGACACAATCGATTTGTTAACACAATCAAACTGGACAATTCAACAAGAAAAAAAAGGCTTGCTTTGCAGCTCAAATTTCTTCAAAGCTGTGGAAGATTAACCATAAGTTCACCTTGAGGTGCTTTTTAGGAAAACTAGTCTTGGCTTGATGTGGAAGGAGAGGAGTGAAGAAAAGAGTTTTAACGACATGTTGTAGACATGTGTTATTGCTAATAATGATCTGTAATGTGATGTGTGTTCATATGAAACATGGATGTTTGCTGATATTAAGCTGGAGAAGAGGGGGGGGGGGATACCCTGATTTGTACTGAGGAAACAAATGCATTCAACTGTGAAAATTAAACTAATGCAATGATACAATGTTGAAGTGCTGTTTTTTGGAAACTTGTGATACATACAAACATAGAGACATGGATAGATAACATAACACAAATAACACAGATTTGACACATAGTGGTGTACTTTTACAGAAAGGCAAGCAGAGACGACCCACCCCCTGCCCCCCAAACCCAACTCTCCCAATAACACACACAAGACATTTGGCAATTCGGCGCATTGAGCAGCAAGTCTTCCGGATGTCTTCCATGCAACTGGCATAAAATGTGATCTCCAAAGTGCATACGCCGCTCAGACACAATGTCACGGAAGGGACGTGTGGCAGTCCGGCTGTCGATTTCTGGTCCCGGTAAGAGACCCGCAGGATCCATCTTAGACATTGCTGCTGTGCCTCACTGAGTCCTTTTTTTAAAAAAATTTTTGGCTGACATCTCAAATGCATAGATAACAGTGGGTATAATGATGGAATTGAGCAGATGAATCTTCTTCGCCAGGTCAATCTTTGGGGTCGACTGGATCAGCCAGAAGCGCTGTAGGACTGCATCCTGTGCCGCCATGTGCCAATCCTCGTGACCTTGGTCTTGTTCTTGGTCTTGTACACACGTGTACACACAAACACACACACACACACACACACAAACACACACAATGGTGAGGAAATCTGTGTAGCCATCCTCTGTGCGGACGCAGCAACTGGATCAAAGGTAGAGGGTTTGGAATATTTTGACGAACTGCTCAGGGATGCCATGTAACCACGCAATGTTATAGAAGGAATCTCACCTATTGAACACCTTTCTGAAACTGACGAAATTGATTAAGAGACGCTGCTGGTATTCCAAACTTTGATGATGGTGCGCAAGATGAAGATCTTCTTCATGCGCGACAGGCCACTGCGAAATCTAGCTTGCTCTTCTTGGAGTTACTGGTCCACGGTCTTATGTCTTCGGAGGAGGAC